GCGATGGGGATAAATGTTTGTATTTTCACGGATTCGAGTTTTTACGATGTTTACTAGGTGTAACAGATGCTTTAGTTTCGGAGTTTAATATTTGATGTGTTGAAATTGTGATGATTGGGACATCATGATGTGACAGGTGAGACAAGTTAAATTTGAATATATAGAATTAAAAAAAATACACTGTTTATATGTAGATCTATCATTTGTAAGCAATTTTTTTATTATTCTTCTCATAATTAAGGCATTATAACACCTAAAAAACGACAATTAAAAAGTGACAACATTTTTCCTGATGATTTTTAGTATCAGGAAATTCATGAAAAGTCTGTCTCCACCAGTTCTAACTATGTATTCGAGCAAAACTTCTAAAATGTAATATATTTTGATACGATACATAATCTTCAAGGATGCGGCAGGATTTTTCAAATTTATTAACGCATTTTACATGCGTGGCTTTGATTTCATGTCGTCATAGTGTTTCAAAAATTCAAAACCACAAGGTAGTGTTTTGGGGTGTATCCTTTTTTTTTGCTATATATTAATGATTTACCAAAACTTCTAGGTACAACGAGCATCTCTATGCGGACGACATTACTTTACTTTTTCAATGTGAAGATAGTAATGAATTAAAACAACAACTAAATATTACCCTAAAACAAATAATAGACTGGCTAACACATCACGATTTAAAATTGAATATAACAAAAACTAAATTAAAACGAGTAAAACCCCGTCAAAAACGACCAACGAAATTCGAATTCTCGTATGAAAATTGCAGAGTGCCGTCAGTGAATAGTTGTAATTTATTAGGAACAGAAATCGACTCAGGTTTAAGTATTAAAGAGCATGTAGATAAGGAATCGGGAAAATTAGCACGATTCACGTACGCTTTTATTTGAATCAAAGAAGTGCACTAATTTGAAAACCGCTGTGACAGCATATTATGCTTATGCATATGCTTGGTTGAGTTATGGTGTTGTTATATGGGGTAATAGCACACATGCTGACAACCTTTTTATTTTACAAAAAAAATGCATAAGAATATTGATGAATATAAGAGGATATATACATATTAGAAATTTGTAAATTTTTAAGAAAATATAGTCAACTATTTCAACAAGATAATAATAACACTTATTTAACTAGATTAAGAAAAAGAAATAGATTAGTTGGTTCTTTTACGAGTTTGCAGATTGTTTCTTCAGGTCCACACCATATGGCAATAAAGATTTACAACAAAATACCACTCCCAATAAAAAATATTGAAAAGAAACATATTTTTGTCAACAAATTGAACGAATTTTTACTGTCGAACACTTTTTATAATTTGCAGGAGTTCTTCGATTATAATAAATGCACATAGCGAAGTAAGCTAAAATGCTGTGCTCTCACAGGGTTTATGTTAGACCACGTTATGTAATAGTGTTAAGATCTTACTGTACAATACAATGCAATGTAATAAATAAATATTTATTAACTTTTTAATGTAAATTATTGTGATGAATTTTTGTAATTGGTTAGGACATAGTTTGTGTACGAGATTAATAATAAAATTAGTTAAGTTATTAAATTAGTTAAGTGACACTGTAGCGCCCTAACAGGGTTCATGTGCTGGAATAATATTATGTAACACCTTTGATAATCCACTTGAAACAATGAATAAACGAATTATGAATTATAATGCGAACTTTGAAACCGTTTCAGTGATTAGCTACGGTTTTAGCACATTAGTATTATTTGCACTGTTTGAAGAATTGTTTACACGCAGGAAAGCCGAGTGTCGTGAACACGCTTAGAATACTCATTAAAATACAGCTATATCTTTCAGTGTTATATTTTTCATGACGTTAAATTGGTCATATTTACCTGGTCTTAGACGCACGTCAATACGAAGGGAGCATACTAGTAAGTGTATGTTCTATCTGACACTTATAATAACATTAAACATAGAGCGTTTGCTTTTAAGCGAATATACGTGAAACAACAGCAAAATGTTAAACCGCAAGGGGACGCAAATCAACAAGGAGTGCAAATGATGTATGTCTCTCTTAACGGTAATAGGTAAAGTTCGTGATGTTTGGACTTGCCGAGTGACGCAGTGCGCGGCCCTACCTTGACTCCTCACTCTGTCCAAACAATAATAGCAATTATTTCAAATATATCTCTTATATCAGTAGAGGCTTGCGCGAGAGCGACATAACGCGCGAGATAATGCAATTCTCGTATAGACATTTCGCGCTTTATAAAACTTATATAAAGCGCGAAACATAACACAAAACTCATATTTATAGACACGTGCCGAAAAATGGGTAAAAAAAGGTTATATCTCATAAGTAAATCTCTTTACGTATATAATAAAGCTACAAGTTTAGAGTCACTGTTACTAATAGAACGCACATTTTTCCCGAAATGATCGAAAACACACATGCTATTTGGCAGAAACTATAGTCTTTTTATGTGTAACACAGACTAAATAAACAAGTAAGCATATTAAATAAATAATGTTTAGCATTCATGTAATAATAGAAAAGTTATTGAAAGAGACACATGTTTTGAAGTTATCGGAAAACGACCCGTGCACTCAAATGCAATATCGAGTAGTGTCACTATGGTTTCACACAAACAAAATTCGACAACACTAGCTTACTTTTATAAATACATAGATAAAATGCAAGTATTCACAATGACGCACTACTCACTCTACATATACGAAATTGTAATGTACGTCAGAAGTAGTCTTTCTTCATTTAGTACCGTAAATGTTTCTGGCATCCCACTCATCATCATTTAAGAACAGTCCCCCGACGCATGGCACTTACAGAAAAAACCCGCGTGTCGTCGGACCTACTTACTATGAGCGTTTACCCGCAACTCTTAGACTTGAACCATCTGACAAGATCTTTTCTTGAAAAATCCTTTCTACTCTGTAAATTAATTTATGGACCTAAAAATGTAACTACATATTTGAAGATATTTGAGTTTTATTTTTATTCTAATTTTTATCGCATTGACATACTTTTGCATATTTGTTATCAAATTTTCGTTTTACGTACGATCCTTGATGGAGAATTATATTTGATATGTAATTTAATGACAACAATATTATTTAATAAATTGTTAATTTTGTACATAATTGTTGTGTATTTTAAATTTATTATACATTTCATTTTTGTTTGACGATGTCAATATAATTTCTTATATTTTGACATGTAGTGCAATCTATAATTTTGACGTGTAGTGCAGTAATGTTATATTTGAGAAATAAATTAATCTGTATCATTATCATAATATCAAATCCGATACACAACACACCTATAGAAAAAACTATTCCAATGGCTTTTGCCAAAGATGGTACGTTATCGACATTGAGTGTCGCAACGAGTGGGAACGCTTCATCTAAACAGTATAGGTAAATATTAGTTAAATGGTAAATGAAATTATAACATTTCAAATTCACTAAAAAGGGCTTTGGGCGTGTGCCAAATGAATGTATTTGTTAGGACGTGTATCCATACAAACAAAAAATACTATGGCAGCTCGGTTCCAAACAATCCAGCAAATTGCAACAATATCACAAAGTGTACCAAATCCGCACCAAAAACCATCCAAAAACGCATTAGACCACACAACGAGGGATAGTAGCGAAATGAGAAAAAAATACGAAAATTGTAAAAGGAGTTCTTTTTGCGCCAGGTGTTCTGTACGTTGCATACGTAGTTGCGATGCGGGATCGTGGTTTTTAAACCTTTGAGATACGGAAAAAATAATTCTTAAATACGATCGGAATTCATAAGGAGCTTAATATTTTTGGCCGAGGCTGTACAACTGCCTTCTTGCTGGAAGCTCATTTATTTCCTTGCGAGAAAATCGTGGAGAGCGGGAATCCATAAGCTTGGAACTCATTTTCACGGGAACTAAAATGTTTTCTTTTGTATAAGACAGCCACCACGCTTAATAACGCAGAATCGGCTCAAGCTGATTCAAAGCGGTCAGAAAAAGCCACGTGAAATGAGAGCAAAAAAGACGTAGCGTGTTAAGTTTCCACTCGAATCGCGGACGCGAAATGCACAATGTCTGTTTACTCTCTTCTTGCATGGACATAAAACTTTTTCTGATCGGCTTAATGCGAGTCCGTGCCGAAGAGTGCGGTGACTTGCTCATTGTCTAAATTGCGCAAAAAATGGTAGTCGGGAAGCCAAGTAAGGTGAGATTGTAAGGCGCAGATAGTTAGGTCAATTATGCGCTTTGGCGTTATCGTGTAGAAGTAACGGAACGTTGGTTAAAGGTCCAAATATAAGCATTCTCTGTAAGCAGAAATAATCACAAGCGTGTAAACCACAACCGATTTGTGGCGGCACGTGGACATGGCGACGACCACGTCTTGGCGACGACGTCGCGTTCGTCGTAGGAGGCGGATGACCATTTCCTTTAATATTGTGCAACAAGTAGAGATTTATGCCTACGCAGGTTACAGGTTTTACTGGAGAATTTCAACATCATTTTCGAACACTTAACCTACTAGCAATGAAGAATAATGTCGCTAAAGATTTCCGTCCGATTTGGATAAAAATATGCCTTGACCCTGAATTTCAGATTCATTTAAATAAATAAAAAGCCATACTCATTAACAAGATTAGGACATAGGAAGGACCTATTAATGAAAAGAGTACATTTTGACACCCAATATCTGTTGGTAAAATATCAGGTTCTTTGTTTACATTTGCAGCATTACACGTTTCTTAAGGCTTGGATTCTAATCACAAGCAACACCATTTTAATGTTAACGAAGTAGTAAAGCTCTATAGATCTAGAGAATAATTAAAAAGTGTTCCGATTCCTTGAAAGAGCTGAATATTCCACATGAAAAAGAAAATTTAAAATCCAAAATACAAGCATAATCATAGCATAAACTCTACACGAGCGCAGGTACTGTTGTCATCAACAACAATAATACCAAGTTATTTTTACTTTGAAACATATGAAGTACACTGTAGACTCACATTCCGCTTCATTGCGTTCTTGTCATCGGACAGAGATGCAATTTAATTCTACCAAATTTTATAATTCACAGGAAATTTTCACTCCACTTTCAAGTTTCACTCGTACACTGTTGACCGTGCGATGTTCGCGGGGCGTGTGGGTGAATACCACCAAAATAGAACTTTGGGAATAACTTCACAAATTATTCACTCACGTCACTGCGAGTAACACTTGACGAGAGTATCGCGGCGCATGCGAAAGGTTAATTATGGGAGTCATTTTGGCACCTCGCACTTTTTTATTGTAACCCTATCTAACCCTAATGAGGAACCCTCAATAGCATCGAGAACAGTTTCTAATTTCTACTTTTAATATCTATAGTCATTTATCAGCAGAAGAATCAAAAACACTGAAAACAAATTTAAGGTGTCCCGTTTGCTTCTTTATGTACATAAGGAGAGGACACGCAAAAATTTGCGTTGTGCATCAAGGAAGCCATAACAGAGTTATTTCTTAGACACGTGTTTAATCGAATTCTTTGCGAGTTGTTAGTAAAAGGCAAATCCTTGAGCCCATTGTATCATTAGAGCGCCCACTCGACGCGGGTAATTGCAATGTGCAATACTCGCCTACTCTTGACGCACCATCTTTCACCATTTTCACACGACTTTGTGCATCAAGGGCACTGCTCGTGCAAACTACTATTTGTCTAAGATGATAAGGGATATTAACACTGCAGTCGTAATGCCTATATACATACTCAATTATTAACGTCCAATGATCCGACAACCGTCCAACAATCTATCGGCGTCGAGCAAGGTGATGAATTTGATATTTGTAAAATTACGTCATTTTAAGAAAAATGCTGTCGTGTTTATTCAGAAAATCCACTAATTACCATGTTAAAGTACACAAAACACAAGGAATCACATACCTACGACGCAATCGTATATTCCCATCAATCTCTTCATGCATGCCCGTTTATTTTAGGTAGTTGTAGCTCAGCTTTTTTTTACGGACATCCCGAGCCCGATCCAACTTGTGGCAAACAAAAATGATAAAACTGATGCTTTGGTCAAGTGCATCCGAGTGTTGACCCTGAATTCGGCACTGCAAGCAAAGCAGGTGCAGGTAGCACCTGCGGCGGGCGTAATCATGAATGATCTTCAAACTCGCCTAAAACTGAGTGAATTTACTATGATACCTGCATTCGAAATTATATGCTTGACTAATGCAAATAGAACTCCACAGCGACTTCTTAGGTCTTCGCAATTGATAGACATTGGAAGTAGATATGAGCGCCGATAATCATGAAACGAATTTGTAGTAACGGTTTTTGTGAAACCAAACACCGAAGTTTGAAGTTTGTCATGAGCTTTTCGGTGATGGAAAACATCCTGATGAAACCTGCTCATCGAAGAAGGTATACAGCCCTCGGAAAACGTGTCAAGTCCCAACCCGCATTGGGCCAGCGTGGCGGACTATGGGCTAAACCCTCGTCTGAAAGGAGACCCGTGCCCAGCAGTGGGACATATGAATGGGTTGATGATGATATTTGGTTTGTTTAAAAAACAAAATAATATAGATCCGGAAAAAATAATTTCATTTCCAATATCTACAAACAGTTTACTACTTTTAGGGTCGTATTCCAGAACTCTACTCAATGCTCAAGTCAGGACTTGAGCAGACTTGAGTATGATTTCAAGTACTGGAAATACGACCCTAATGACAAGGACTTGAGTATGATTTTCAGTGTTCACTGCAATACTCAAGTCCTGACTTGAGTATTGAGTAGAGTTCTGGAATACGACCCTATAGGTTGAAGACTCTAAACGAGTTCCATTTGAATTACTTAGGTAATTCATTCGAATTTATAACTCTCTAATATTATTTTTTTATAATATCAAGTGACGGGACGACCACCTATGCGTCTGATGGTAAGCTACACGCCTCTCCATAACAGTTGCAGAGCCTTTCAGAGCTTTAAATCGCGAAGATCTGAGAGGCACTACCACTGCACCCGTCACCCTGAGACATAAGTTGACATGTCCCATGTGCCTGTAATTTCACCAGCACCCGTACCCTTCAAAACCGGAACACAGTAATGCTAACATTACTGCTTGGCGGCAGAAACAGGTAAAGTGGCAGTACTTCCCTGGACGAACTCTTTCACAAGGAGCTCTATTGCTTACTAAAATGTAATTAATTAAGTTTGAATTACCTTGTTTAATAAAGCTGTCTTTTTGGGAGTGATCATAGATAGATAAATACTTTATTCAATAGTATGACACATACCCGTTTGCCAGATGTGTTATCTCTAAAACATCGACATATATAGATAACACGTTGTTCTGGCAAACGTGCGTACAGATTGAACAATAACAACAACAAGAAAAATAAAACCTTTTTTGTCGTAGCAGTAAAATTGCGCTGAGTCAGCATATGTCTAAGTTCCCTAAAGTCTTCAGTCAGAAGCAACAAGAGGTACTAAATCTAGAAGTTATTTGTAATGAAAGATCTAATAAACAATCAGGATATAAATTGTTCATTAAAAATTTAATAAAGTGTGAATAGTGCATCTAAAGTAACCTATTCAATGTGCAAGTGCATATGCAGTTTTGAATATACATATAAGTGTAACGGTAAGTGAAAATTATGATTGTGAATATGTTTTAGTGTAACAATCTAAGTAAAAATGGTTTAAATTTCAATGGTTTCCACATATGTCTCCCCTGGCCAGCAGATTAAGCTCTGTTTCATACGCAGTCCGTAGAATAGGTACGTGAACTTACCGATGTTGCTACTGCTAGACTAGTCTACTTTAGTCACTTCCTTAGTATAATGCCTACGGGATTCTCATATGGGGTAAAGCGGCAGATATACAAACCATATTGCAAAGTGCTGCAAAAACGAGAGATTCGTTCTGTGTACCGTTTAGGTTCTCGGGTTTCTCTCAGATAAAATTTAAGGAGACTGATATCATGACTGTGGCATCACAGTACATTTACTCTAGTATTTTGTATGCTAGTAAAATAACTTCATTAAGAAAGAAGATGTCCATAATATTAACCTTTGAACGAAGTCCAAACTCATGGTACAACGACTTCGTTTAACTAAGGTAAACGATTCTTTTATGGTGAACTATACGTATATATATATATACACACACACGTTTTTACAATACGATTCCGGGGCATATCTGAGATTATTAATGTCTAAGTTTAAAACTTACAAAAAAAGTATTTTAATTAAAAAGTCATACTTATTAAAAAATTGAAAACTGCGTATTAGATAAAGATGTACGGAAAGGCGACAGTAGTCTAGATTCCACAAAAATATGATTCAAAGTGTACCTATTCCATAGCATTTAAGTGTATTTGAAAAGAGCAATCCCTAGAGTTTCTTGCTCGCTCTTCTCAGGTAGGTCAGCGCAGTGAACGAGCAGTAGTTTAAAAAATGACATTTTCAAATGTAAATTTTAATTTCCTCTGGATTAAATTATTATTTGCTTTCGAGTTAAAAAATGCGTTATGGTAACGGCAAAAATCAAAGAAATACGGTACAACACGCTTGCAATGTAAAGGTAATCCTGATGCTAAAGTAACAAATAAATAAACAAGCAATGACATTAGTAAAGGTCAAAATGACCAAATTGAATTGATTGAATTAGACCATTCTAAATCGATCGAATTATTCACAAGTTGTCCTTGAATTTGTGTTCGTCAGATTAAATGCAAGTATGATGTAGCTGTTGTGATACACCTGCTTGTAGTGTTCATATTTTTAATTTTAATTTTTTTTATTTTTCTATAGAATCTGCGATATTCAATGAGTACCGCACAATTACACCCAAAAACATTTTATCCGTAGGTAAGCGGTCTCAGTTGGACGGACGTCTGTGACTCGTGACGCCGCGATATATGTCTGTGCGTGACATAGACAAGAACAACAAAACCAGCCGCCGATTGTTTTTGTGTATTGTTGTTAGTAGTCCTGAGAGGACACGCGTCACGCTCTGTTGACGTAAGTATATCCGAGTACAATGTCGACAGTGACAGCCTCGATCGTTTGATGCATTGCAATTATATTAGTTTTGATGAATTATTCAAGTGCGCTTCTCCCGAGCTAAAAGGGGAAACGAAAAATCAATTTACATTGTACAGGGTCAAGAGCACGTCAAGCTTGACACTTAAGATTTAAATCCAACTCTATGGTGCTTATGATAAGAACGGTCCAAAGTACAAGCATGACGTACTACTGTACAAATAAAATGTATTATTTGTATCGTTTCATGAACAAAAACAAAACATTCATTTCGTTACTTCAGTCAAATGGAATGTTGGAAAAATGAGAATCGGGAAACAATATTTGCCAACGTGGCAAAATAGTGAAACCTTAAAATGGGTAACGAAAAAATTCGCGGTATGTGTTGCCTACGAGCATGGTCAAATGTTCACATGATGAAATTCTTGTCTTCTTTGCATTGAGCAATACATTTTTGTCATAGCCATATAAGACATATTTATGTCCAATTTACTTTGTACATAATATTTTAATACTATTAACCGTTGTTTTTAATAAGAACTGTTTTTAAGAAGAATTTGCAACATGGTATCGTATATCGTATTAGCTTTTAATAATAACTGTTATTTGTAATATGGTATCATATACATATACATATAATAAAGTTATTAATTTTGTAGTACAATATTTTTTTGTGCAATTGGCAACTCAGGACATATGAAAAGATTGTATTTGACATTCAGCTGAGTAAACCAATTGAAATCTGGTTAAGCGTGATTTAATTTCATTGCTGAAAGATCTCTTTATTCAATCTCGCCATGAAAAGGCCCAAGTTATATCGTTCTGGGAACAAATCTGCATTCAGGGAACAAATCTGCATGCAGGGAATTCCACTCCATAGCCGTTCGACATAAAAATTACGAATATTAAGAATTCTAATACAAAGAAATCGCCCTCGCAATCACTCGAAACCACTGTCGCACACACCACATGAGCCTCTCCGGTCGCGTTAGGCTTCCTGCGATTTCATTAATTCTCTCTTTCATTCGCGAACTACGTTGCTAGAGTGCAACGGGCGCGCTACACCCTCTCTGAATCAAGCACAGCACAAGGAGAGCAAATGACAAGGAGCGG